GATTATCGATTATCGACCGGGCGCGGAAAATAATCCCACAAATATATTCTGGTTTTCAAAGACTTGTGTCAAGATATTTGAAAACTATTGGTAAGAAAATATTCTTGGTTGTAAGAAAACTTATTTAAGAAAAATAAAATAAAATAAAAAAGAGCTTTTCTTAGCTGTAGAATGATTATTTTTATATGTGTAGGAAATAAAAGATGTTTTTAAAATTCTTCATAAGATTCAATTTAATATATAGATTAGATCTCGATATTAGTAGTTAGATATCAGTGCAATTTTTAACGTAAATTGTTTTAATAGTTCTTCAATAATCAAGAGACACGGTAGTGTCTCGCGTCAAGTACACGCGGAGCGAGACCGACCGTGACTCTTTTACGCGACGCGACGGGTTGCGAGTACCCGAGATGTTGAGATCTCGATAACGAGTGTAATAATTTACGCGGAATTATGACGAATGTTACGTTTACTACAGTAACCAAAAGTTTATCATAAGATCATTTGTAAGTGTTCACCAAATCACAAAGTAACATTGATTGAAATACAATAAAATTAATATCAGTATTGTAGTATATAATACGCACTTTATTGATACGCGACTTGTGCTGACTAGAGAGGACTGAGCACTAGCCACGCCGGTGCGATCTAGGCTCACGTCGAGAGACACACGAGCAACGTGTAAAACACGTGGGCCATTCTCGCGCGGCCCTCACTGTTGTCACGCTAATGTACATACATACGTCACCGTCACAAGTATATATAAGTGAAAGAGGTTACGTAAAGTCGTAATATTTCTCTCCCTCTCTTTCTCTCTCTCATCGAATGACTCTCCACCTGCCATTGGAGACTCTACGATATATCAAATATAACATAAAACAGTTCGTTAAATGAAACATTGAGACAAATTCTCTATTCAGTAGTTAGTTGGAATTCGAGATCTATAATAAAAAAAATACTAAACAAATTTATTCAGCTCACCAATTTATTCACTTATTCACGTCTATTTCACTTGTTATGCAATCAGACATTGTTAATAAGCGAATATATAATGGCTTGCAAATGATATGCAAAGATTCTTGGTTTCAATTGGCTAATCCATCATTATCTCGTATTGGCTATTTGACCGCGGAGTCATCTGCGCATTATAGATTTTTATGACTTTGCATGTTCTTTCGCAAGAATATTATACATCACTGAAAGTCTATTTTCCGGCTTGTACATCTTCCTTGCTTATAGCGAATTCGGACGCTTGCACTAGTGCACACTGAGTGCGCACTAAGGGTTAAAATGATTTGTACAGCATCCATATAGATATTACAGATTGTTTTATTGGCTAAAAAGTTTTTAAATGTGTATTTAAGCGACTTTAAATATAAGAATTAGATTATAAGCAAGTCTTAGTGCGCACTCAGTGTGCACTAGTGCAAGCGCCCGAATTCGCTATTAGATTTCAACCAATTGATTTGTTCATCGAATATCTAGCAGATAGTCATCGTGTCGTTCCCGAATCAAAGATCAATTACGAAGTTTTCCTCTCCTCTTTAGAGAAGAGACTACAGCTCTATATCGAAGTTTCCCGTGCGTCTCTCGTAGTCTCAGGTCTTCCTCTTAATCCGGATCCTTATCCATACCACTGTTTTGATTAAATCATTAAATCTTTCCCGCTGCAAAATAGAATTTGAAAGACATTGATGCACAATAATTTTTCTATTATGGTCTAGTGGGACTATAATATTGAAATGGAATCGATACACTGAGAAAAAAAAGCTTCAATTAAAGTGCTATCACGGTGTTCCAAAAACATAAGTGCAGTTTATTTAATTCTATTATTAGACTCAATATCTGGATTATTAAAACAATAATTTAATTACTGAGGCACCCCGTGATATCATTTTAATTGAAGCAGCAGCTTTCTTTTCTCAGTGTACAATTCTGTGCATTCTTAGTACCTTGAAAGTCGGTATCATATTCTCCATCAAGTTTTTTTCTTTGAATTTATTATTAAGCATCAATAATTATGTGATAATTTCAAATAAATTCCACAAAAGCGTTGACATTATTAAAGTGAATACAACAGATATTATTTATAGCAATCGATTATTGTTAAAAATTATTCCTTACTCTAAAAGTTGCATAAAAGCAAGATATCTAAGGTTGTGCTTTCCACTGGATTAGAAGAGAAGACGTGATTGATATTTAAATCCTTTACATTATTCAATTAAAAATTGTTGTGTCGAAAGTTTCATATTATTTATACGCACTGTATTTGTGATTCAACTAATTTTTTAAAGATTTTCTTATTTTAAAATAAACGTTTGAATCAATTGGGTATAGTACAGAGTAAATAAATCAAATGTCTCATTAGATGCATTTATTTTTCTGCAAAGATTTTTTATACATATATATAGCACACAATATATCGATATCACCATTTTTTTTCATTTTTGCTCTTTTGACTAGATCAGCTGATTTATGATAGAAATATAATATCTTGCTGCAGCAATTGTGCATATAATGTAAGTCAGAATGCAATATAATGTTACGTATAAGAAAAGTTTTCAAGAAACAGACATTCGTAACAGCTGCATATACACTAGTGTATACAATATACTGGCTAGTGCAAAGCCTGGTATTCCTCGCTGTGAATTACCTGAGCAATCAGTCAAATCGCAAACAAGTCGATTAAATTGGAACATTAATTTCAACTGATTCGTATAAAAAATAAAATTTTTCGAGTAAACTGAAAAATAAAACTAGATTTATTTGTTCATACTTTTACACATTTCTATAACTATCATTTAATAAGAAAGAAAAAGATCGTTGAACAAGCTTGAAAAAACTGGCGGTAAAAATTTATCTGGAACAAAAGTCCCATTTGTCACTTTATTGAGAGTTTTACAACGAAAGAATGAGATTTAATTTGCTATGCACGCTTGAAAGCATTAATTTCATGCACAAACTCTCTCTCTCTCTCTCATTACTCTTTTAATATTTCGTTACGTATGTTGTATATTATGAAATATTGTATTGGAGGAAAAGATATTTTGAGATTGTAACAAAATTTAATTAGAAATTTTTATGAAATCGATTTAATTTGCATTTCAATCTAGATATACATCAGAGTCCGAATTGTCTCGGGATGATAATTCAAAAGCTCATTAAAATTTTACCACATTAAAGTTTCGCTGTTTACAAATTTTGAAGGAAAATGATTACTTTAAAATCGCAATTTTCTTTTAATTAATTTCTTTGGTAATACATTATAGTGACTATACCTGTGTATTAAAAATGCCGATGTATTGTTGAACAGCTTTTGCAATCAACATATTCGACAGTAATTAGTTGTCAATCGACAGAGTTGTTTACGAATCGCGTAAGTATATTGGATTGTGTCCGGAAAGTCAGAAGTGTCGAACATCAAACGACTGTTACAACGCTAATTAACGTATGTAATTGTGATTTTGTATTTGTTTGAGTAAAAAAAGTGCATAATATATAAAAATGACACATGATATAAGATACCTACTTAAAATAATGTTCTCTTTTAAGAAAATATTTGGTTAAATAATATGTAGCATTAGATTCCGTTTAGCTACACATAACAGCGTAATAAGACGATAATACATTAACTGGTGAGTCAATACATTCTTTATATATACATGCATATAACTATATTATTAACAGTAATAGTTGCGAAGATTTGATTATTATTATCTTATAAATAGTTTTCCGGTAAACATTATTCAAGATTGATTGAAATTTTAACGATTTTCTTTTCTTTTCGACATCTGCGTACTCTGCGTATCAAAAGAAACAGAAATTCAAACGAGATGAATTTTAAGAGATAATGATATTTACTGGTAACGATGAAATAATTAAAAGATATGGGATGGATGGTATGTCGTATGTGTGTATATGTGTACATATATACACTTTATATCGGCGCAAACATGCCTCATCAATTACGGAATATACGAATCCCGATTTGTAATAACTTAATCATCGTATCGTTCATGCGTGGCTTTGCTGCCCCCCGGCAGTCTAACTACCGTCGTATCGGATGCTTGGATGTGGAGACAACGTGCGCGTCTCCGAGAGTGTTTCCGATGTACGCTAGCGTGCGAATGAGTACGAATAGCTGGGTGTCTATTATATTCCCCGCCTTTCTATGCGTCTTGTTCAAATTGTGCACCCCCCTTTCCTCTTGTCGCCGTCAATCGGAAATCCGTCGGATTGAGGCCACAAGAGACGAAAGGAACAATTTGTGAAAAAAAAACAAAGGAGACGGGGTTGCAGGAACGAATGGCTGAACAAATGTTAGATGGATTGTGCAAGACTGAGAGGCAGCAGAGGGAGCTTGACAATCAATCTCGAGGTCGCTCCCTCGCCGCTCATTTTTATGTCATAAATATTAATTATAATTATACATAAAGAATAAACGCATCCTGCAAAACATGATTACGTTACGTTTATAATAGTCATGTTCCTTTCCGATCGATGATAATTGATAATAAATCTATATCAACCTTGCTACATTATTTTGTACTTGTTTTTTAAATATTTCTTAATTTTTTAATCTTAATATATTATATATACATATATATACAAATCTATAAATAATGCCGTTTTTAAGTTATCAGACGTATTATTATTATTATCATTATTATTATTAATATTATTTTTGTATATGTGTGATTAATAGTACGAATAGTGTAATAATTTTGTATGTTTATTGAACCAAAAATAAATATTATTGATAAAGAAACATGACTGCCTGAACAATTGTCCATATTTCCGTTTCAATCTTCATCATCAGCCGCAGCAATGGCCTTCTCGGACATCGGTTGCGGTTGTTGTATCACACGTAAACTCTGCGGCCCAATAGTGCTCAATATGACTGGCAACAGAATCAGCCCGTGCCAGAGCCCGAACATAATTACTAAAGAGAATATCCGGAAGAAAGCGACGAACACGTAGGACGTCGAAAAGGCCAGAAGCGAGACGGCGAGAAATGTTGAACCCGCTCCATATGCGACCGCTGCGCCGATGTGCCTAACTGCGGTTAATGTTCGGGTCCTGCGAGCATTATCGTCATCTTCTCGCGACTCAGCATTCAGGAAAGCGTGTGCGACGTGTGCCGCGTAATCCACACTTAAACCAACAGCCAGCTCGAGACCTGTGAAGAATCCTTATTGAATCGGGACGAAATTGTTTGATTAGCAATGAAAGAAGTTTGTTTCTTCCATTGTTTAAATAATGTTATAAGAGAACTCGCTTTAATGTAACAAGAACTCGTGTGTATATGTATATATATGAATTATGTACAGTTTAATAATATTATAATGGAAAGATATTTAATTTTTTAGCCTCACGAAGAATGAAATGAGAATTAAGAATGAAAATTTGCTCTCGGATTCGTACTTTGCACATGATCTTGTAATATAAATATCCTTTTATCTTAGTGTACGTACACATTGTGTACGTACACATAAATGCAAAAGATGTATATGTACATATTTATCTCTGGCATAAACAGATTAACAAAAATCATGAATCACGAAGTCAAAGTAAAAAACTACACTCACCAATACAGGACACTACGTCTATCGTTAGTCCCCAGAAATACATATAGCCACAAACGTTTAGTAGCGTGAGAAGTACACAGAGTAAGATCCAACAACAAGTCTGCACTTCAGCGATCAGGAAGGTTGTGGTACCCATAACGCAGATTAATGCCAAGATGATGTTTCGCGATACTTCTTGACCAATTAGTTTGTCGGCAGTCCAAGGTCCAAACATTTTACTCCACACCGTTACGTATCCATGAATTTGCGCTTCGTTCGTTAAAAGTTTACTGTTATCCATCGCTGGAACCCATTCGTCAGGTCCCTTAAATTGTCTAAAGTTGAAGTCAATGGTTGCTGATATGATTCGTGGGGCATCCCTACCACATCGTAACTTCTCGTTAAAAAAGAAATTTCTCTGATATTTACCACCACCTCGACTAAAAAGAAATTTCGATAGATAGTGGTGGAATTCGTCGTCTGCGATCTTCGTAGTCCTTAAATCTAACGAAAAAAAAGAAAAATATTCAATTAATTTACAAACTTAGTTAATTAATCGAATGATCTGTTTGTCTTAAAAGTTTTGTATGTCTGTGTGAAGTCCATTCTTCTCTAAATTAAGTATAAATTCTGAATATAAATTAATTCAAAATTTCAGAAACACATCTTCTTTAGAAATACATTAACATTTTTGTTTCTCCACTTTTAATACAAACCGAAATAAATATTACGATAAATACCTGTGGTATAATACGTTGACACGAATTTCGCAAAATCAATCGGCCAAGGTTCTATGGTTTGTATAAAAGACGCATTCTGTAAGCGTTCTGTCATATATATTATCTTAGGAAATTCAGAGGAGTAATCAATATCATCTCCCATAAGGACAAAAGCATTAAATCCTTGATCAGGAAATGCTTGATATCGGAGAGCTATATATTCATTCAAATACGATTCTTTCGGTAACAACCATGTTGGATCAAACCATTGTTGCAATCGAAGCAAACCGGTAATGCTTATAGACATTGTTACAAGAGTAATTAATACTATAATAATTTTCCCAGGCGTAGTCAATACTATCTTCGAATACAAAAAGTTTATAAATTTCCAGGAAATTGCATTGCTGATGTCTAATGACTTGGGCGTAAAGTTTTCATGCACGATACATGGTAACATCCCATTTCTTTTCCGTTCTATTCTCCTAGCATCCAAGGTAAAGCAGGCAGTAAAAAATGTGATTTGTAATAAAAATGTCACAAATACGCCCACAGCAGCATAAATACAAAATGATTGAAGTGAAGGTAATATCTAAAAGAAAACATCATTATAATGATGGTATCTTTTCGTAATTGTAATTATTTCTATGTATTAAAAGCAAAAAATGCATAACATAAATCAAATGATCTAGCAATTGTTTTAGATACTTGAAACTAATTTATTTCAAACCAATAATATATTATTGTATTATTTTTGTGTAAAAATAAACAGAAAAAGATATAGTAAATATTTCATATATAAAAAAAATATTTTTAAAAAAATCTCATAAATTATTGTTCAGGATAAAAGCATTACCATTGCAATAACGAGAAAAAAATAATTAGATTACTTAACTAAAAATAATATTCATTTCATGAATACTCATATGTATATAATGTTTCCGTTTAAAATGTAAATATAAATATCCGAATAAATATAAACAAAAATAAATAAAATAAAATAAATAATATAAAATTGTGAATTGGCCACAATGATTGACATCATGCATTCATATATATATTACGATTATTGTACATACTGTAGAAGCACCGATGATAAATGCCACGACATCGGTGAGTGAAGTAATACTGATAGCAGAACCGGCATGACCCAATGCAAGTCCAATTCTTTCTGTTAGTGGCTTATTTAAATTTGATTCATCGGTATGTATCTGTTTCCAAGATGCATTAAGTACAAAAATATCGTCTATCCCTAAACCCAAGAGCATAAATGGTAATGACGTGTGCACTGGACCGTACGGAATTCCGATTAGAGAGCATATTCCCACCGCAAATATAAACGCAGCACCCACGCACAAAAGACCGGTACCAGTGAGACAAAACTGCGAAAAGATGAAGAACTTTCACTAAACAGAAGTACCAAATCACTCAAAAATTGTTACTCTCATAATAGTCATACGTACCCGCCATTCTACCCAATTCTGATTTGACAAAATCGTTAAGACGTATAAAAACATTAATACACTTCCTATAACCAATTTGTCCATATCTTGAAATATGGATGTTGCAGAAATATCTCCGAAACTTCTACCAGCTTCGTAATAAAGCTTCAAGGAATCATTCATATTTCTCTCGCTTTGCAGTTGGTTCGAAAGATTTATTACATTTTCTAGGTAAGCTGATTCCCATTTCAATACGTCCTCTGTTGCCTAGATATAGATAACTGGTTTTTATTCTAAGTTAATTATTATTTGTTCATTATATGAATGAGGTTTAATATTATGGATTAAAATAAAATTCTGAGTAATTTGCAAATATATATATATATATATATATAATAAAGATTATTATATTTTAACTAATAATAAAAATAACAATTTCATAAATCAAGGAAAACTTTTAATATTACTAGAATAGAAATATATGTAATGTACAGATACCGAGATAAAATAAAAATGAAGATCTTCTGATAATTTCAGTATTATACGTTATACGATAAAATTATCTTCGTACAATTGTATGATAAGCTGTGATAATGAAAGGCCTAAATCATATTAAAAGCATACAAATAAAAAGTTTTATTTCCTTTTTTCTTTTTTAAATCTAATTTCTAATTACTCGAATTACTTTCACTAATATAAAGCTTAATTTATGATAAACTTCAAGATATTACAGGACATTCATTCAATATATTAAAACAATGATTAAAAAGCATGACTTAGGCCTTGATATGAACTCACCTTACCCAATCAGCAGTCCCCGCGTTATTTCCAATTTTATCCATGTCTACATTGAGAAAACTAACATGAACCATCATATCAGTTCTTATGGCTCCCGCAGCAATGATTCTACCCCTCTCATCTAGAGTTACGTCTCCCAGAAGTTCACTGAAATTCATGGTGTGGCCCAATCTGGGACTCACTTTTACCGTATTTACCTTTGTGATAATTTCTTCTGTGGAATCTTTCTCAATTTTGTCGCTATCAAAATCCCATAAATCCAAGATGCTAAACACAAGGCAACTCATAGGCAAACTCTCGATTATACTGCAATACGTATTACTATCAACATGAATGGACGGCTCAAATGTTTGATTAACATTAGAAGTGTGATCGTCATCAAAAAAATTGTCTTCCAATAGAGAACTTTGTCTCTTCTGTCTGTACAGAGAACCAGAAATAGCAGGAACTCTGTAAATAGACATTACCTTGGTACATACAATTAATCATTTTTCCTATTTTTTGTACAACTTTTTTGCAAGGCTCATGTTAGATATTTAATACAAAATTAATTTTCTAAGAATTTTTTTATATGTTTACCTCATACAAACATCTGTCCAAGAAATGTTCTCGGGTGTCCGAGTAGTCATCATTTGTTTAGTAATTTCATTTAACTGCAACAGATGATTAAAAAATATTCTCTGCAGTACTGACAGTTCGCTATAATCAATCGGATGAGAATTTATAATCGTCAATTGAGACAAATCACCTATTGTATTAAATTTAATTACCTTAATAAGCGTTTGCTGTTCTAAGAGATTATCGCCAGTTAGAATAAACGTTTCAATTCGCAGAGCCTCCGAGTAGTGCGACATCAGCCATTCGGTGGATCTCACGAAGTCAGAATCCGGTGGTACCCAAAGCCTGAGGGGATTCTTTTCCTGACGGAAACGGAGCAGGCCTAAGAGACAGACTAGCACCACCACGAGACATCCGAGCATCCACCTGTACGGCTTTTGGGCGATGTGCACTCCAAGCCTGCTCAAAGAACGACGGCGTTGCACCGTTGTTAGACTGTTCGTCACGGCATCCAGACAGCACCGTGTCCAAAATCAGGCTGGTATCACGTAAAACGTCTTATGTCCATTTCTACCAAAGATTAACTTTAATCTCTGTTTAACTTCTTTGCTTCTTATCTTTTCCTAGTTCTAAGAATTAGAGAAAGATGAAAAGTAAGTTAAACTAAGATTAAAGTTAATCTACATTGATAGAAATGGCCATTAAAGACACATCTTTAAGACACCTTGTGGTATGATGTCTAAAAGACGTCTTACGTCCCGATTTTGGATATGCGTGCTGTCTGGGGTGTCAGCTCGTTGAAACCCAGAGTATTAGTTACATATTACATCTAATTATAATTTCTCACTCAACAATGTAAATGTACTACAATGTTAAATGTAATATAACACACGTTGTTGAGTGCAAAATTATATAAATGTACCCTGAAGGAAAAATGTCTCAGAATTTTTCATGTTATTAAATCCGAATTTCTATAAAAGTTTTCAGACTTTCTCAGAGTGCGTGCTCAGAATTTTTCAGATCCTTTTATACGAATTGAAACATTTTTCAGAAAAACTCAGACAAAATAATAATAAAATACTTTTAAATTTCTCTGCCAATACAATCTTTGTAAAAATCTGAGTAAATATGAAAAAGTATGTTTATCAATTTATCAGAAATTTTCATACATACAAATACTGAAATATTCCGAAAATCCCCAATTTTCTGGGAAGTATCTGAGAAATTTTATTTATTTTTTCAGAATTTTTTATCAGTCAACTCTTACAAAATTTCTGAGAAAATATAAAAAATGTTTTCACTAGGGTAATGATAACTTATGCTCTGTGTGTTGACTGGGAAGATTCCGAAGCAAGGCACTTACCGATAAAAAAAATGTTCCACCGTCCTGGATATGCGTTCTGGTAGGGTGTACCAAAATCTACGGCACACCATCCTCTTGGCACGAACCTCGTGCAGCTCCATTTCCTCCTTGATCATGATGAGAGAGGATCGACGCGTTATCCAGCGTAGCGACTAGTCGGCGCGATTGAAATTGCTCGTCTGAAAAGACAATGGCATTTGGAATCGCCGCGCGTCGCGATGGATGACCAATCGCTATTAATGACTGTTCTCGTGTATAATAGTTGCTTTCCATTTACATAAAAACTCAGATAATTCTCACTTGTGACGTCATAACTCAGTTAAATGCACGTTCTTTTTGCATGCTGGCAAGTGAGATTCAACTGAGTTTTCATCCACAATCGAGACCATGTGCTCTAATGAATCTAAATAAACTCACATTAAAAGTGAGACTATGGATCTGTATTATTATGTGATAGCTTTGTTACCGAAATAAGCAGGTAAATACAAAATGACATATCCTACCTAAGTATAAAATACTCACATAACTGACAAGAGAACCTCGCAAAGTGAAAAATTCTGATTTTAATATAACTTTCCACACATGTAGGGGGAGTAAAAAGATAAATTTAGATATTTTTTGTAGCTGCCCAAAAACGGTTTTAAGGGGTGAAACCACTGCTCATAGTAGAGCGGTTTTTTGCTTTTCTCGATATATCTTGAAAAATATTTGAAATATAAAAAAATGTTTCTTATAAAAGTTTTACAGTAAAATCTTTTCTATTCGACAACATTAATAATATTTTTTTAAAATAATTTTTTAAACAAAATTTTGATTAAAAATTAAAAAAAAAATTTTTTTAATGAAATTTTATTAATGTGGTTGAATAAAGATGTTTTTACCATAAAACTTTTATTTGAAACATTTTTTGATATCTTAAATACTTTCCGAAATATATCGAGAAAAACAAAAAGCCGCTCTACATATAAAGGGCGATTTCACCCTTTAGAACCATTTTTTGGCAGTAACAAAAAATTTCTAAATTCATCTTTTTACCCCCCTCCCTCCTACATGTGTGCAAAGTTTTATAATAAGAACATTTATGTGTATTTAACCGCAACAAATAATTTTTTCAAAAATTTAGTTATTTTTGCATCTCTTATTTAAAAAAATATCTGTTGCGTGCGTTATTTAATAAAATTGTAAAATGAAGATACTTTTATCCTGAATGTACTTATAATTCTTTAAACAATATTGTAACAATTTTAGCGCCAACTAAAAATTTCTAAATTTATTTACCTGTGTGTGCGTGCGTGCGTGTGTGTTTTATGAAATATTTTAGTTTTAGAGGTTCTTTTGTCGATTTAATCTACACAATTAAATGGTTAAGTTTGTTTTATTTCAATTCGCTGAATTTAATTTGCGAGAAATTATTAACTTTATTTATATAAAATATTGATTTTATTTCGTCATTCATTTGGTTTTGTTTTTATTTTGTATTCAGAAGTATGTACATGATTATTTCGCTTGATAGAACGTGTTTTTCCATTTCTTAACTTACGAAAGTTTATTATCAAAAATTGCACATAATTATCGTAAGTAAACAAAATATAAATAGTAGTTATACGAGTGAAGGATGTGACGGACAGCGTGCATTAATTCCACAGTTGATGATACACTTGAATGAATTATTAAACTTGTTGATACTTTATACTCTTCAACTATGAAATTAATGCAGATAGATCTCTAATAGAAATCCATACTCTCTTCCATCATAGATAATATCTACAAATCCATAATAGACATCCATTAGACATCTATTATGGATGTATAGTAGATTTATATACATAATGTTTCTAACAGATCAATATTGATTAAGTTTTATAAGTAAATTTAAATTTTTAGATAATTTAAAATTATTTATTTTTATACAATTTTTAGAAGTATTACGTTATATACAGTATATATACTAGATTAACCATAGATATTTAATGGAGCTCTGATGGTAATAGACGTTAATTAGACGTTTAATGGAGCTTTGGTGGATATCTAATAGACGTTAAAGACGCGAGCGTTAGAACGCGACGCGGCTACCATGCGCCAGTACTTTCTCGTGATAAAAAAAATCACGCGCTAGTATAAAAGGCCAGCCTGTGAAAGGGCTGACCGCAATAATTTTTTGCTGCAGATCATCTGAAGTGACCTCTGGTATCACATAGCAGGGGTCTGCGAAGCAATTTTTGATAATTTGTTGGATACAACTTATAATTAATTCAATATTTCAATAACAGACTGGTGAACAAGCTAGGTGTTAGTGCTCAAATTTTATATTATAAACAATAAGTAATACAGACGTTTCGGCCTTGAATACGGCCTTCATCAGTGTTAGAGTAAATTCGAAATCATAAAACGCGCGATAGAGTAGATATATCCGATAGATTAGTTTTTCTTTATATTAAATAATAAAAAGAAAGAGTAGAGCTTTTTCATGGACAAAATGGCCAAATTTTTTTAAATCTAAAAAGAATTACTAATGGAATATTTGATAAATACACTGAAAAATCGAAACGAATTCAAAGTGATACAAAGTCGAGCAAAGTATCCAGAATTATGCACTATATCGATATCGGAATTCTTCAGAGTGTTTTATCAGCACAACTACCCGATAACAACCAAAAATAAAATCGTGCACATGCAGTACGTGTCAAAGGTTGAAAATTACGTAACCGTTACATTGTAACGCATATACTCACAGAAAAATAATCAATTATTTTACAGCCAAGAAAAGCACTTACTTATTTTATTTCACTTCATATAAGTAAGTTTTCTTAAAACAAAGAATTTTTTCTTACTAATACGTAATAGACTGGGGTCAGGATCTCGAGCAACAGGCACGGCAGTTATAGTTTAGAAACGCTCTTTATTCGGCTCCGCGCTTTCGATACACGTCTGTTCGCGCTCGCTGCCGTAACCATGACTGCAGGCAACCTAAACGGGGGCCATCTATTGGGCCCTGTATTCTCAAACTAGTATCACGCCTTAATTACTATATCACAAATAGTTTTCAAATATCTTGACTCAAAAGTCAAGAATATTGTTTTGAGTAAATGTAATCTTTACAATGACTTCATGGTAGATTTGTGCTGGATATATAATCTTATCAAATACTCCGCAATCCGCAATTCGCAAATCTATTAT